CTTCTACCAGAGATCTCACTCTCCTATGTGCATAAGTCTTCACCAAGGACCAGAGAAAGCTGTGAGCAATCCACACAAGTGAGGTCTCCCAGACAATATGTACGGTCATCCCAAGCCAAAGGACCCTAAAAGGGATCTGCTTCCTCAGGGATCCTTGGGCCACTGCCAGGCTAAACCTGAACTCACAGACCCTCGTCTAGGGGCACTGGTTTGAGCACCAGCGATGCTCTGCTGTTTGGTGGCAGGGTGGACATTCAGATTAGGCTCTCGCTCTCTGTCCACTGGCATTTCCTGAACCCCCTGTATTTTAGTTCATGTTGTTTGCTGTTCTGGGTAACTTCCTAATCCTGAAAACTATGAGAATCTCTTCATCTAACATCCAAACCAAGAGTGATGCCCCTTCACCCCTGCCCGCCCCCCCGCCAGAGGCCTCCCACTTTCAAATAAAAGTGAATGGTGCCACCTGTTTATTTTCATACTTCTAGCATGGCTCCACAAAGGCAGGGCTGTTTCCTAACTCACTTTTCTGTCCTAAGTGCTTAACACAAAGTCTGGTATGCAGCTGGAGCTCAGTAAATGTGTTGACTGAGTTATGAATATATGTTAATATTTCCACAGGATTTTCTACAGAGAGAAACAGTCGAATCCCAAAGTAGGTTTTTTGACTTGGAATTTTTATTAACAAGAGTAATCTTAACAATTGCCATTTACCAGGCCCGAATTCCTGGGCCGATTATTTTATATGTATTACATCATTTATATTTTTTGACAACTTTGTGGGGGTTTTTCCTTCCAATTTTGTCCTTATTTTAGAGATGTGAAAACTGAAGATCAGTGAAGCACAGTGCCTCACCTGAGGCTGCAGGCCATTGGCAGGAAGGCCAGCTCAAATATAGTCTGACCCGACTCAGAGGCCTGCACACTAATGACCACATTTTCCAGCCCTTCCGTCTTTGAGAAGATTCTACCTTCTATGAAAACTCTCACAGCTAATACTTTGATCTATTATGTGTTTAGCTAAATAGTTAGAAATAAAAAAGACATCTCTTCCCCTCTATCCTAACAGTACTCTAGTACTACAGTGGGAAATGCTCTTAAATTGCACAGATTTGCACAGAAAGCAAGCTGTCATTCATAGTGATGCTTGTGCTCCTGTCCCCTAATCCAGAAGCTGAATGCAAGAATTCTGCTCCTTTTATTACTTTCAATGCAATTTACTCCATACAAGGGGAAAAGCACAAATTCTCTCAATGTATATTTATTTACAAGTGGCTTATTTCTTTGACAAAAGCTTTAAGGAGGCTTATAACAAAATTCTCAATGCTAATTCTCAAATGCTAAGAGTAGTAAGACAGAAATCAAGAGCTTGGATTTTGGAAGGAGAAAGCAAATACACAGACTGTTAAGTGCCAAGGGTCATGGCTGTGACCTAGTCTCACACAAGCTGCTGAATCCAGTCTTGGTGAGGGTTCCAACATGAGGAATAGCAAAGAACTTTACTTGTACTGTAAGTCAGGTAATATTAAATTACCATCAAGTCTTAGAAGTCTAGGAAAACACTATTAGAAAGAAAAATTATGGGCATAAAGTTGGTCATGAAATGACAGGATTACGTAAGAATTTAAAAGGGATCTAAAAAGACCAAGTACCATTATTATCTATGACAAGGTAGGCATGAGAGAATACATGTCCAGGTTTATGTTTCTGTGACAACCATCCAACTAGTAACTGATGATTGCAAACATAACTGTTCCTGGAATCTAAATCTTTTTTTTTTTTTTTTTTTTGGCCCTTCCTCCCACAGAGCTAGCACAGCACGCAATCACAATCCACTTGCTACAGGGAATAAATACACCAAAATGCTTCCAATGCAGATAATATTGTATAAAAGAATACTTTCTTAGCTTGTTTCCCTTGGACTTGGAAACAGTTTTACTGTCATCAATCACTTTGTTTGGTGCTAAAGCTTTCTCTGCTATATGGGATTTTTACACACCAAATCAAGCTAGTTATAAAAATGTCACATTTTCTGTTGCTGAAAGATGGTAAGAAGCTGGAGAACCCAGAACAGAAGACATGTGCAGCTGTCCCTCAACAGAATGGCTGGACATTTCCATACCAAGGAAAGGTAGTCTTTCCATCCTGGGAAAGCCAGTCTGCTCTCCCTAGTTCCAGGCTCACCAATTATGCCCCCGATTTGGAACTCTGGCCACCATCAGTCACCTGGGGGTAGAGGGAAAACCAGGAATTGTAGGAGAGCAAAGGGCAGCCGTGAGGTCTAAGCACCACCAGGCATGTTGGGGTCCATGTGTCAGTCAATGTTCACTTTAGAATACCAAGTGCCTTACTGAGGGCTGGATATACAAAAGGTACTAATTAGCTCCCTGCTGGACTCAATTAAGGTTTAGAGACCTAAGCTACCAGCTGGGGTCATTGAATACAGTGCCTCAATAGTCTCTTCTAAAAATGGTATCTGAGCGCTCTCTTTTATAGTGTTATTGCAAGATTAAACTGATTGAAAAAGATTGACAGCTCTTTGACAAAATATTAGGTGCTACTCAAATATGAGAATCACTGAATGCCAGCAGTTGACTTTCAGGGTGAAGGAATGGTGGCTGTGAGTTGTTCCCTGCTGGCCTGAAAGTGGTCTCCTATTCTGCCAGATGATCCTGAAACCTTTCCATGCCATCTCACTACTTCCAGCAGCTCCAGGGACTTCTCTATCCCCACCCTGGTATTCAGACCCACTCTAACAGAGTGACACTGATTGATGCTGAGGAAGTTTACTCTCCTGGCTCTGTGATACCAGAGCCACCTCTCAGGGCTAAGACCTAATGACAAGGAGTCCCTCATAGAGCTCACTTTACGTATTACTAAGCTTGAATTAAATAAAGCACCAGGCAAAGGCCCTCTGCCCTTCATCCTGTGTAAAGGCACTTCTGCTTAGTTGCTCCTTATCTCAGCAGCCTGCCTGCCTACCTGTGCAAGTTCTAAGGGCATGATTCTATCAGCATGGACTCCAAGCAGGGTCTATTCCATTTTCTAAAAGGGCAAGTCTATACTTAGAAACTGAAAGACCTATTTGTTAAAGTTTTATTTTTCTAGGACCAACAGACTTATTTAAACTTCATATCTTTTCCTTGCTTAACAAATTGTAGGTGTAAGTTTCTCAGAACCACATTTTCCATTCAGGTCAAGGGCCCTTTGCACACAGTGATGCTGGTGTTAAGCCCTGCTGTAGTTGATCGTCTGGTGCATGAAATCGTGCAAGAGTGCTCGCAGTCTTAAACCACTGTGTAAAAATAAAACTAGTTAGGAGTTAAACTGAATGAGTCCAGTAAATATTAGTCATTTTCATTCAAAACCTGCATTTTACTTCTCTGAGAGAGTCCAAGTTGCCAGCAATTACCTGGCAGATTAGATGATAATAGTGTTATTCAACAGAACTGTGGTTTGGCTTTTTTTTTTTGAGATGGAGTCTGGCTCTGTTGCCCAGGCTGGAGTGCAGTAGCACAGTCTTGGCTCACTGCAACCTCCAGCTCCGGGGTTCAAGTGATTCTCCTGTCCCAGCCTCCCGAGTAGCTGGGATGACAGGCACATGCCACCATGCCCAGCTAATTTTCGAATTCTTAGGAGAGAAGGGGTTTTACCATGTTGGCCAGCCTGGTCTCAAACTCTTAACCATGTGATCTGCCTGCCTTGACCTCCCAAAGTGCTGCGGTTATAGGCATGATCGTGCCTGGCGCCCTGGCTTCTTTTTTCTTCTCTTACATGGATGATGTGAACTCCTTCTACAAAACCTGGATGTGTGTTCCCTTGTCATAAGATAAACATAAGGGAACGATTCCTCTAATGAACTGATGACAAGGTCTGAGTGGCCCACAAGCCAGGAGTGACCCCAGACAGCTGTTCTGTTCTCCAATATGAGAAAGAAGCGCTTAGTAGCTACTTCTCTAACACTAAATTCTAAAACTAAAACAATTATTTGTATATGGGTCCTCCAAAATTTAGTTTATGTCCAACAACTGCAAACTACATTTAATTATTTAGCAGAATATTTTGAAACTAGGGTTTCCAAGCAGATTTAGAGGAAAAGCTAACATTGCTTAAAACCAGTTAGTTCATAGGAGCATTACCAACATTTGTTTATGGCTGCCAAGGGTTGCTCAATATAATTTTGAAAACTTTATAAGTAAAAAACAATGATGAGCACTAGAGTTGTAAAGCAGATCTAACATTCTTTTATGCAAAAAGATTAGGCTTTTCCCCCAGGGACAGCAGGGCATCTCAGGGTGTGGGCTGAGGGTCACCAGTGGTGAGCTGCCTGGGAAGCTTGTCAAAACACAGATCCACACAGCGCCAGAGGACAACCAGAATCTTAGCAAACAGGGACCGGGCAACTTTTCACAAATTCCTCATTGATTCTCTGTGCCCAGCAAAGTTTGAGAACTGCTCTAAGGAAATGCAAGTCTTTCTCTGCACTTCATTGCAGTCCCATAAAACCTAACCCTTAAGGAAGAAGAGCTTAACACGAATCAAGGCAAGAACTCAATAAATATTTAGTCAAGTACAAAATGTACTGTGAAGGATCTTACCTCTCCTCTTTTCTATACGCTGCCAAGGAGCTTGAAGCCACATTTGAACTCAATTATAGAAATTTTGTAAGCCTTCACAGCTTGTATTTTTAAGCTCTTTTTTTCCTCACTCTCAAATTTTTACTGTTACATTCTTCTCAGTTCTAATTTTTGCCTTTTATTTATTTGCTGCTATTATTTTATGGTTTTATAAGCACTCTCAGATGCTCTGTGGAATAAAATGGGGTATAAGTATATAAACACAGCTTTACACAGTTATAAATCAACGTGGCCAGTATTTGTGTTCCCGCCATGTTCCTTCCCATGCTAGGATCTTGCCATAGATACTGGGCTGTACTCCTTTGTTCTAGCTGTTAGCCGAGAATCTTTTCTGAGAGTTCCTTATGAAAGCATTGGCAGCCTTACTTGTGTCCTTGGAGCTCGATGGCTGTTCCTTTTCTCCCACCGATGTCCCACATGATGACAGAGTGATCTGAACTGCCTGAGAACAACATTCGCTGGACTGGGTCCCAACAGAGAGCCGTCACCCCACCTGAGAGGACAGACACAGCCAGACATCAGTCACAAGGTAAGACTCTTACCCACCAAAGAAATGTGAATGCAGCGGAGATAGGACCTAGTGCAGTTCCTGGCACACCATAAATTTTTGTTGAAAGAACAAACAAGTCCCCAAAGAGAAAAAAATTGGCTCCAAGGAAATTCCCACCCTTAAAGTGTTCTTCACCAACATTTAATGTACCATAAATTACTGTAAAGACCAAAAGAAAATTTAAAAGATAATAAATTGACCTTTAAAAGGGAGACGTAATTCTAAGAAGAATTAAAAATATTGCACTGTTCGAAAATATTAACCACATTTTCTTAACTGCTGCCTACCTCCCACCCCTGACAATAACAGATGAGAAAAAAATAGGGCTTACAAATGCTCAATTAGATTTTTTTATTCTTGAATATCAGATTTAATTAGGCCACAATATCAGAAATTAAATTACGTTTTCTCCTTGGGAATTTTAATTTACAGATTCCGGGCAAACTACTTATGTTCTTAAATGTCAGTTTCCTCAACTGTAAAATGCAGATGACAGTAACACCACTCCCACTTTGACTATTACTAAGAATGATAACATCAACCTAGCCATTACCTACTTCCTAGGGTTGTAGTGAGTATTAGATCAATTACATAGGACCACTCTACCACTCTAAACTGTAGTGTGCAGTACAGATGTGGGTTATTAGGATTACTCTAGTGGATGGCTAGAAAATATTAGAATAGATTTTCTATGGTAGTCTCCTTGTAAATCAAACCCTTATGTACTGACAATGTTTTCCACATAAGATGAGCACAAAGCCTACATGTCAGAAATACTATTTTTGTATTATTAAAAAATATTGTATTCTGAAAATAACATAAAATAGCTCCTAATTTGTTAGAATCTGACATTTTTCTTATTTAGATTATCAATTTGTTCTAATGAAGGGCTATACTTTAAAAGTTTTGAGGGAAGTTTCTCTCATGCATTTGTTTCAGAAGAATACTTTCTTATTTTTCAAATGACTCTTCTTAGTAAGATTTTTTTTTTAAGCTCAAAAAGGGGAGGGAAACCCCAAACTCTACTATTCGGGATTATGCTTCCTAGTATCTTCTTAAACCTGCACCAGTGCTGCTGGTGTACACCCCTGCCCCTGTAAAAATAAACACAGCTTCCCCCAGTGCATATGTGGTTAGCTACTGTCTGCAGCCCAGCCTTCTCCCCCGACCACCAACATTCTCCACAACAGCAACCAAACACAGTGATGGGCGCAGACAGGCCACTCACTGTATTGTCTGTTAAACTGTATTGTCTCCTGAATTAATGAAGGAGCAGATGAATGCAAAATAAAGATCATTTTCTCCACTTCACACAAGCCCTTGCTTAAATGTCACCTCCTCAGAGACACCTTCCTTGACTACGCTCATCACTCTCCTGCTTACTCCGTTTTTTTTTTTTAATTGATTGTCTACTGCCCCAGTAGAACAGAAGCTCTAGGAGGGCTGGAGCTGTGGCTTGTTCTCCACAGGATCCCTAAAACCTAGAATTCTGCCTGCCTTACCTATAGCAAGCACTCAATAAGCCTGGACAAATGGGCAAATGATTTAATGATGAAGTAAGAATATGAAAGAATGCCCTTGGCTTTGTTTCTGGCTGATGAAACAGACATACAACACCTATTAATGGGTTAATGTTAGATTAAATGGGTTAATTAGGTTAAATATGTTAAGATTAAATAGGCTAATATATATAAGCACATAAAACAGTTCCTGGCACACAGGAAGCATGTGCCTGGCTGACTACTACTGTTAATGTGATGCTTTCATCTATTCGACTGTTCACTTCTTTAGGTCATGGCATACCTGTGTCAAGGACAATATCTGAGATGGTCTTGCCTGACTGACTAAGTCACTACAAGTGAGGGGCTAGATAAGAGAAAGGTGACAAGTGTTTAATTTCCCCTATATAACACATGAAATGGGTAGTTCAGGTTCTTTAAGGTATCATTATCAGATTTAATAATGGTGGGCACTGGTAAAAACAATGATTAGAAAGGCTTTTTTGACTCACTTAAAAAGACTTAATTGGAAGCATTGTTCATCCTGTCAGAATCAACATGGAAATATTGAAATAGGGCTTAGCATGAGCCAGGTGACTTCCCTGACCAATATACACCTACACATCTAACAACACTGTGCCATGAAGAGCAGTCCCTCTGCTTTCTTTGTTGATGACTATGGGATGAGGATGGTTTATGGCGATAGAAGAGAAAGTTTAGATATGGTGTTATAAGTGTACAGGCTCTGAAACCGGAATCTAGTCTTAAATCCCAGATAAATAAATAAATCTATCTTTATTAGGTACAGTACCTTGTGCAAATTACTTAATGTCTCTGTGTCTCAGATGTCTCATCTGTAAAACAGGGATGATTATAGTACCTAACCTACAGTTTTGTTGAGATTAAATGGGTTAATATATATAAGCACACAAAACAGTGCCTAGCATATGGGAAGCATTACTCACTAAATGATTACAGTACAAGAGACCTCATCTATACAATCTCTGTGATAGTGTCCTTTGTTGAGTCAGCCTTAAGGCAGTGACCATCTTGTTCTGTGCTATCCCAGCCATCATGAGATCAATTAAGGTCTAGCTTTGCCACACTGTATCAGGCCAGGGCTAGGAAGGGGAGTTCTTAGTAACACAGAGTTAGGAAGGGAAATAGATAATCTGGTTAAAGCAAGTCAGAGTATATTCATCAGACCCTCCCAGGGCTCAGAGTGGAAGAGAAAGAAGGAAAAGCTGCAAGACTAGAAAAACTTTAGGATGGGGTAGGGAGTAAATAACTCTGGAGTCCCATACCTGCTCTGTGTAAATGTCCTAACAATGATGTCATTTAAAGTCGGCTTATAAATGCTAAATTACAGCATTCATTTCAAATCAGTTCAATAAGCATGTACTGAGCCTCTTCTGTGTGGAGGAACTATGCTAGGCTTAGCAGATATAATAAAATAAGACTTAGACTCTACCCACCAAAAATGCACAATATGATGAGGGATTACCTTTGAGAACAAGAAGAGCACACACCCTATGCTTGGTGGATCCATTCTCTTATGTGATATGTGACTGCTTCCCCTATCTGGAGTGCCTGTCCTGCCTTTTATCACCCAAGTAACTTTTTTCCCTCTTCAAGATGCAGCTCAAATACCCTCTCCTCCAGGAAGCTTTCCTGGAGGTGAGGTTCCAGTCTCTGTGCATATCTCTATTGTTACAAAGACCCCACTACATTGAACTTGGTTGGATTATAAATCTGTCCCCACAATAGACTTTGGGTTATGTATCTTTGTATTCCAGCACAGCACACAGTGACTGGTACACAGGAGGTGCTCAATAAATGTTTACTCAGCTGTTCTGGTGAATTGAATGGCAGAGAGGAATGGGAGAGCAATAAGCAAGAGGCATCCAGGACACCCTTGGGTGGGAGCTGATGGGAAGGCTGTGCAAGACACCAAGTATCAGAGATGCGGTGGGGAGAGGTGCTGATGGAAACAGCCTCTCCCTTATTTTTTCCTACATCTCTCTGCACATAGGGCTTCCTGATGAACTAACGCTTCTGGCAGCAGAGAAACCACCTTCAGCCAGCCTGCATTCCAAGAAGTGCACCCCACTTCACACCTCACCCCCCAACCCATGATGAGGGCAGAGCCCAGGGCTTCAATGCTTGTGGTTTTCCAGTGTTTCTATTTTAAATAATAAAAAGCATTTGTTCCATTTCATTTGATTTCATTTCAAGTTATTCCATCTTTTTGGTCCCTTTAAGTGTTTTATTTTATGCTTCTTCCTTCCTTTGGCCTCCCTAATATGACCTATAGAATAATTTTTTAATTAAATGGTTTAATTCTTAGAAATAAAATATTCCACTTATTCTTTAGTGGGCACAGGTCTTCTATTAAGGATGATGAAAAAGTTCTGGAAATGGATATTGGTGATGGCTGCCCAACACTGTGAATGTACTTTATGTCACTGACTTGTATAGTGCATGACTTGTACACCTAGAAGGTTGAAATGGTAAAGTTCATGTTATATGTATTTAATCAAAATTTTAAAATTGCCAAAATATTTTTTAAAGTTTTCATAATTATACAATTTATACTACTATATACCCTCATAAATATAACAGTTGCTGACTAGTATCTCACACATGTATATATCTTATTTCACCTATTTTTAGATTTTTCTTAACTTTTAAGTATTATATATTTTGCTAAGATGAACATTTTTATGCATACAAATTTGTTCACATTTCCAATTAGTTAGAAGAGAATCCCAAATGTAGAACTGAATCAGAGTATAAAGATTTTTAGAAATTTAATATATATTACCAAAATGCTTAGGGAACTAATTTTTTTTTTTTTTTTTTTTGAGACCTTTACCACATACCTTGCAAAAGTGAAAGACCACGTGGAGTGTTACAAAATCAGGGTTGGAAACTGCTGGGTCTGTCCTTCCCAGAGTGTGATCTGGTAACTCAGCAGAGGGAGTGTCACACCACCCTCAAGGGTAATAGGTGCAGGCCAACATGAGGCTAAAGGAGAGGAAGAGCCTCTTGAATAAAATATCTGACCTTCTGATTCCTGCATTTTGCTCTAAGGGTTTTTGTCAAGCGAAATGCCCTCCATCTCTAGACTGTATCTTCATTCTGAGATCCATAACTGTTCACCCAGCTGTCTCTTTTCTGCCACCCCAGGGACATGTTCAGTTCAAGCACAGTGCTGTTCTTTCCCAGACCTGCTCTCTCTCAGCAGTGCTCCAGGTTTCAGGAAATGCCATCACCAGACACACCAGCAATACATGCTATAGACAGAAGCCCTGGGAGTCACTGCTACCCCACTCAGTTACCAAGTGCTACTGACCCCTGCTCTCCAAACAGATCTTAAATCTCCCTGCCTTGTGTCCACACATTGCTGTCCCTCAGTCCAAACAAAGTCAGCTTTCCGACGGA